CAATAATATCTATCACAGCACACAAAGATAAGATTGATGTCATTCTAGATGATCAGATTGTGTTGACTAATGATAGAGAGATTAGTTGCTTTTCTTGTTCGTTGGGTGGATCGACTTGATTCTGATGGTAGATGGATCCCAAGAAAGAGGCTTCAATAGTGTGCTCCAAATTCATTGGAACTTTATAGGAGTCAGTGAAATCTACCTTTGCCAGCTCATCTTGGTCAGATTTATGCTTGGGGATAATTTGTAAATGGCGTTATCATCATTTGTTGATTTTCGATATTTGGTTCGTCAGAAAGATCGTCCCCCGTGGGCATGACTTGAAGTATTTTGGGTATCATATTAACTACAGCCTGTTGTGATATATCCACTCGACAGAGTCGAATTTTTCTTCCTCCCTGGGAGAATTGATGAGAACATCTAATTTTAATTTATTTCTATTTGGACTCTTATTTATATTGGACTTGTACAATGGATTTAACCCTAAAGCCCACTATCTTTAATGTTTTGTTTTTACTATTTAAACCTAGTTTTTCATATAATTGAGACAGTTTGATGATTATAATGAATTGAGATTGATTTGTGGCGTCTCCTTCCTCTCCTTTCCCTTTTCCTCTTGAATTTCTGCTTCTTCTCCAGTTTTCCCCTCCTCCTCTCTAGTTCCCCCCCTCTTTGTTGCTATTTTCTTATTTTATCCTATATAAAAAACGCTTTATTCCTCTGCCAATTTCTTTCTTTTCTTTTAATCTTGTTTTTATTTGTGCAATTATATACATCATATTGTGTGAATAACCTCCCAATCTCCCCAACATTCCTCTCCCAAAGTTCTCAAAAGACCGTTCGTTTTCTTTGTTTCTGATCGAAAAATTGCTTTCAATTGATTAGAACTGGTTTATTTTGAACACTATTAGAATTGTGATTGCAAACAATAATCTGCAAATGATGGATGAAGTTGCTCAATATATATATATATATATATAATGGTGAAATAACATATTTGCTTTATTTTTGGAAGTGATAAGATAAGAGAAAATATTTCAATTATCTTATTATAAACATAATTTAAAGCACAATATTTTTTGACAAAAAACCGTTCATATATAATTTTTAGGAAAGATAAATATGAACTATAACCTAATCTTCGAAAGAAATCTGCAAACATACTTTTGAAATTGAGTTTTTAAAGTATTGTTATGAATATTTCCCAATATTAAATTTCCGTCAACTTTAATTGCTATCGTTGCTTTCTGTTATATGTTACCAACTGTTGGTGGGATTATAACATACAATAGGTATTCAATTTTAATTGAATTTCATAAAATCATGTTCGGCTAAAGCTGAAAAGTTACTTTTGAGTCATGTATAGTATAAAAATTACCAGTTAATACAATGAAATCATATTGCTAAAAAACCAGAAGTTTTACAAAGACGACATACAACAAATTTGTTGAAACTGCCCATTCCATTTTTTGTCTATTCACTTCATCTGACATGTACATGACGAAAATCATTGCCAATTTCTCTAAAACCTAACTTTTGGTCAGGCCTTAGAGGAAAGGCCAAATGAAGCATCTTGTGTGCTTTTGGTAATCAGCCAAAAACCCATTTACAAAACTTGGAGAATGCCGGTTTTTCCAAGAGAAGTTTACTTCTTTGCATGCTCGGGTATGAGACGACGTCGGAGTTCGGGAGATGCACCAGCCAGTTCTGGAAGAGCAAATGGAATAATTCGACATAGGAAAAATAAAATCTAACAAAGATGTAATATGGGAAAATTTGTGTTCACCTTGAGCTGTAAAATTGAACAAAGGAGGTAGCGGTCGCTCGTTTGGCAAGCCTGCATTAGGTTCTCTCAAAGCATCGAAGAAGGGGTGTGCACAAGCCTCCAACTAAAAATTAACACAAACAATCAAGTGCATGAGCTGAAAGACTCAAACGCTTGGCTTAGTTAGAATGTTTTACAAGTAAATTTTAAAATGATTACTTTTTGCTGGTGTAAGCTTAGCCAAACATGCTCTTAATAAGAAGTATAACTTACAGCAGTGCAACGTAAAGTCGGTGAATACTGGAGCAGCCTTGACACTAGATCCACTGCTTCTGGTGGCATTCTCTTGTTAAATATCTAAGAAACGTAACTTCAGTTAGATTTACCTATTGTCTTATCTTTGGATTTTCATTTTAGATTCCAACAATCAAACTAAAAAGAGAATGATCAAAGGAGAAGGAACTGTGAGTAATGATGAGTTCTCGACAAACCTTGTGCCACGGGTGAGCTTTGATGTGAGGAAACTTAAACTCACTGTAATTGGGATTCATGCACTTGATTTCCTCTCTGGTTGGCGTCCCCAATACCTAATAGATGCAAACAATAGATAAAGGCGAAACTTAGACACACTCACCACAAAAGGCAGAATACCAGATGCAATGAAGTTGAAGAGTACATAATCCTTTACCTTTATAATTTCGACTAGCTGATCAACACTGCTTTCTCCAGGAAATAGAGGCTGCAAGAGTTCAAACAATTGAGAAAGAACTAGATATGTATTATGTTCATCCCACAGGTCTGAGTCAAGAAGCAATGATTCGAAGAACACAAGGACTCAATCATATGGATACCTAAAATACAGGATTTTCAATCCCGGCAGGAAAGGGAGGGAAACGGATACTCAATTTAAAGCGAGTAAACAAAATTCCATACTCAATCTCAAAGATACATAAATTCTACGGAACTTTAGTATAAAAAAGTACAAAATAAAGATGCAAGCTATCCACTCAAAGAAAAAAAATATAAATTAGACTTTGATGAGATGAAAGAATAAAATAATTGCCAGCAAAAGCCCATCAAAGATACACCACTATGAGAAGCCCCAAAAGCATCTAAAGAAAAAGTAGAAGTATATTCTACAGAAGCAAGTAAAGACTGTAAACTTTCCAGGCAAATAAGTTTTTGTGCCAGGAAAAAAAAGTGAACTCTGAAATGCTTGGAAAAAAGGTAACTTAAAAAGTTACTCTTAGGCTTAGGTAAACATGCTCAAAGTAGAGGATCGCCGATGATTGATTTAAATGAAGCCATGTATCCACTAACCTGGCCTATAAGTAGCTCGGCCATTACACAACCAACAGACCACATATCAATTGCAGTTGTATACTCCGTAGCTCCAAAGATCAGTTCTGGAGCCCTATAATACCGAGAGCAAATGTATGATATGTTTGGTTCACCGGGTACCTATAATAACAACACGGGCATCTCAATGACTCTGTGTTTGGGACTTATTCAAATTCTGCAGAAATAGAACATACCAACATCTTTGCACTCCCGAAATCACAAAGCTTTAGCTGATGTGTGTGAGGATTGACCTGCAAAAGACATTATTTCTTAACCTTCCAATCTTCAAAGAAAACTTGTGTTTAAATAATAAAAAAGAAATTAAATAAGGGAGAAAAAGCTAAAGCAACAATATGGGTAACAAACAATGCAGATTCAAAATCATACCAATAGATTCTGCGGTTTAATATCACGGTGGCATACACCAATAACTTTATGTATATAATTTAGCGAGCGGCATATCTGCGAACAACAATAACTTTATTGTGTAATGAACCGCTCATAGTTCGATGCTAGACAAGAAAAGCCAATTTACACATTGAATCATTAACAGCTCGAAACTTACCTGGTATGTATATAACTGCACATATAAAATGGGCATATATTGGTTCACTCTGCTATAGTTCCTTGAAGCTCGATAGACAGTTTCGGATACATATTCCAATACAAGATTAAGGTAAACCTCATTCTTGTCGGTGGTAGAATAGAAACAATGTTTCAGTTGAACAACATTAGGATGGTCAAGTAAACGCATAATCTGGAGTTCTCTGTTCTTATATCTCCTATCCTGCAGCACTTTCTTTATAGCAACAGATTCTCCCGTTTCGAGGCACTTTGCCTGTAGCATACAATTAAAAAGAAAGGAAATTGAAAGTTAGTCTATCTCATTGTTCTTTTATGATCATCCAACTCCCTTCATAAGACACTATGAGCATGTTTGGCTAAGCTTAACGAGTTCACTTAATTTAAGGTGTGATTTACTTTCAAAGTAAGTTATCCAAACAGGTTTGGCAACAACCTTTTTCTTATGTTTAAGCTTAGTCAAACTTGATCTAAGCACATTGCTCCTTATTAATTTATACCTGATATACAACTCCAAAGGAACCTGAGCCAACCACGCGCTCTGCCATATAAGACATTGTCTGGGTATAACAACAGAAATTAATTTGATTTTAACGACATCAAATAACATATGAAATAATGGCGATTTTTTTTTTTTATTTTTTTTGTAAAAA